ATCATCAGAGAGGCTGCAGGTTCAAATCTGCACTTTTCTCTCAATATACTAGTTGAAAATAACATTTTAGTTTGTCCTCCTCGTAATTAGCCAACATCTTTTCTTTGTTTTACATGTTTTTCTGAGGATATCAAAGATTTTTCTGGGTGCAATTTGTCAGGAATTTGCATTTGGGATTTTTCCAAGAGCAAATATAAGCAACATTTGCAAAAAAGAGGCAATTTTAATCCCTCTTTAAAGCAAATTTGGAACATAAATTAGCATAAATGCAGTCATATTACCTAAATTTGAGGACGTAATTAAAATAGGAGGTAGAATTGGCTGCTGAATTTTAAATATGAATAATAATAACAGATTATTGTTTGCCTGCCCAAACCACCTGGGATTAAAGCCAAAACAGAGCATGAGTTAAGAGATTTCTGTTTAAAAAATATCCTACTTTTACCATAAAGCTTAATATGAGCTCTATCTCTTTGTGGAGTTGGATCGAATATTCAATCTAATGCAAGAAAAAGGCGATTTTTAAGGTTAAGAAATTAAAATCCACCTTATTTATGGATCAAAAATGCGGGGGTAGCCCCCTTAAAACCTTGAAAAAAGCTGAAATAAAGATGCTGAAGGGGGGTTTTGGCTCTTCTGATCAATAAGTGTTGTGTGTGAGTCCAGATGTGGGCAGAAACGTGGAGATTGTGCACACAAAGGCAGGCGGAGCTCCCATTTCCATTCTGCATCCAGAATCCAGCCACTCGACGCTCACAGAGGCACTCCAGCTAAAGGGGAGGAGCCCCCCCCCCGAGAGGGGTTTGTGTTGGGGTTTTAAAGGGAATCACTCCATCTTTCACAAAAAAAAGGATGAAACAGAGGAGGTCTGAGTGCGTTTGACTTCATAATAAAGCTCCAATCCGCCAGGTAAAAGGGGAAAAGGAAGGGACCCAGTCAGAGACGTCTCTAGGTTTGAATAAGCAGATAAAAATAGAGTTTATATGCTGTAAAAAAACTGGTTCTGCTCCTTTAAAGCCTCAGAGATGCCTGGTTTCCCTCCTGCTAAACGTCTGATTTCACTTTCTGTCTCTGAGGAAAGCAGATGGAGGTCAGAATCAGAATCAGAAATACTTTATTAATCCTAGCAGGAAATTATTTTTGTTACTAACTCCAGAAATACGACAAAATATACAT